TACCAGCACAGAGCACAGCAGCTCTATTGTATCCAGTGTTAAACATGTAATTTTAGGAAACAGGAAATCTGTTGAATAGAGAAGAGAGCAGAGTAAAAAGAGTGCTCAGAATCTAGGAAGCAAAAAGTCCTGTGAAGAGAGATGGAAGGAATGGGGATTGTTAGAGATGAGATATCTGTATTTCATATCTGCATGATGTGAAATATCATAGGAAAAAGGAAGAGAATAATACGCATTATGCTAAATCAGAGTATATGTAGAGCAAAACGCAGAGGACCTAAATTTCAACCAGGCAGTTTCATGTTAAGCACCTAGAAAATCTTTCACTTGTAAATGTAGCTAAAATGTGGAAGAGGCTAGTTGAGAGACTGTGAATTGTCTGTCCTCAGAGATTTCTAGGACAGATTAGACATCATCTGGAAATGACACCTGTGGTTTCTGACTCTGCTTGTGACCTTAGGGAGAGATTTCAAATACTATCCTGCTCTCTTAGGATAATTCTGGATCTTTGGTTGGTTTCTCTAGGTGTCACTATAACAATCTGTATTTATAACTACAGTAAAACCAGAGGCCTGATGGCTACATGGATAACAAGGTGGGAAATCACTTTAGAGGCAGGTTACCACTTTATTAATGCAATATACTTGTTTAAGTTCAGGGAGGTCTAACTGCAGAAGTTTCAGAAATTATGGAAGATACCATAGATTCCTAGTAAGTATACCCATAAAATTAGGCTTTCTCTTTGAATCTTGTCTAGAACAAGGTTGCCCAACAAAAAGAAACTCTCAAGCAAAGACTGCTTGGCTGATCTTACATATATATAAATATTTATCAATTAAACAAGTTCACAAGTGAAATCTCAGATCTCTTTTACCCACGTTGTGCAGCATGTGGGCTTTTAATCCTAGTTTTACATGTGTAAATGAATGAATTCTCCTCAGAAATGGCTAAATCTTGAATTCTACCATGCAAAAGTCAGGCAAATAAGTATGAGTTAGTTATCCTTATAAATGTGTTTCCATGATGCTGCAAGGCTAAAAATCTCAGACTTTGTTTTTTATGGCATGGGAAATCTTTTAGACTCTGTAAAGGGTATTTGTCCAGCCTGCATTTTCTTAACAGAAATTTTTGAAAACTCCTAGGAGTAGCAAGAAGGTACTCAAGTAGAAACTTGAGTTATCTGGACCAATATTAGAAGGATTTGTAGGGATACAGGGGCAATATGCAATTATGTTTACTTCTACTGGCATGCAAGTATTTTTTTTTCAAAAAAGGAGGAATTCCATTTCCTCTGGATGCATTGTCTTCCACGCTACATACATTTTCAACTTTAATAAGTATTCTCTCATAAATAAGTAGCTCTGTCTCTCCTTTAGAGTGACACTAAGAAATGAGCTATTCATGCTTCAGTGTTTTCTAAAAAAATATTTTTAAAAACAAATGGAATTTTAAACCACACACATACTTCTTTATGACAGATAGCAAAATTGTAGGCTAAAATTAGCAATTTAACTTTGTGGCTTTGCAAGGACTTGCATACTTCTTTGTAAATGATATTGGTCTGTTTTCTGGGGTTTATTTTGAACTTTTAATTGCCAAATTTTAAATCAAACTGTAAAGCTGAAGTAAAGATAGTTTAAAGTAGGCCTTTAGGTGTTTCTATAGTTTTGCAGCTAGTATGAGCTTTATTATTGGTATACTCCATTATAAGGGAATAACTAGACTGAATGAACTTTTTATAACCACCTCTATATTATCCTTTAAGGAAGTGCAATAACAACATTTTCCTTGTCATCAGCTAATAGAATTGACAAACATGAAAATTATACTTGCTGATGATCTCCTAGATTTAAATTGTGGAACATCAACTCTTTTCCAGTCACTACACATCTAAACTGCAATGTTTGGAGGATGCTTTCATGGCTTGTTCACATGATGGACAAAAAAGAAATTATTTTGTTTTTAAGTCCCTAGAAAGTATTTCAATGTCATGATGCCCACAGCTTTTCACACAATAAAGAGGAGAACCTAGTGGCTTTGATAATCCTACGAACAGCTCTTAAGGCATGAGTTTTTTTCCGGTGAAGTACCATCATTTTCACATACAATGCAGTAACTGATTGTTTTGGGGAAGCTGGACTTTGAGAAATAGCTCAGAGTTAGTTCAGAGCATACATCATACCTGGACGAGAGAGAGCTACAGGACCAGACTGCTGCAGGACTGGGAGGGCTGACCAGCTGTGGAGGACTCCATTTCCCTACTATCAATATTAGAATCTTTCATCTTGATGGGCTTGGTGCTTACTGGGAGGAAAAGGTTTTAATTTAGTCATGCTCCTTTTTCTACATGATAGCTCCAATCTATTAACTCTGGGAAGAGAAATGCCCTTTTTTTCGTATTATCTAGGGTACAGAAAACCATGCAATGAAAGCCAGTGTCCAAAAAGGAGACAGAGGAGTCCGGCAACTTTATTTGAATAGGAGAGAGAGTCCATTGGGACACATGCCCGCGGGGTTTTCTCTTTTGAGGTTTCAGAGGGCGCAGCCTCCTTTAATCCTAAACTCCTGTCCCTGTGTTGTCCTCTTCCTTTCCCCATCGTCTGAAGTACTAGGAAGGTATAGCCTTCCCAAACCACCTATCACACATCCCTCCTTGAACCTACTATTTTACCCCCAAGTCCGTAAGTTCAGGCTTGTGCAAACCCCCTTGTTTGTTTCAGAAGCCAAGGTGTCTGTGCTCTGTAACAAACCTGCTGCTTGAAGTTATAGAGACACTAATGGCCATTTCAAGGACATTAACACCCATCCCTTCACCCTTGGAATTGTTTATAAAGACATTAGCACACATCTTCCCTATCACTGGGAAATTGGTTTTAGCAAGTATCACAGCTACATGCAGTTTGATTTCCCTTGTAACATGGTGTGTGGCATGGGCAGAGACAGAGAATCTTAATTTGTCATAGCTTAGCCTAAAATCTGTAGTTTTACGACTTTGTTTTGCTGGAAAGCTCACCAATCTCGTGCAACTGGATGGCAGTATGAGATGTTCTCCACAATATAGCCAGTTATGCATATATGTGTGTGCATATAAGGATGCACAATATGATCAATTTGGCAACGTCTCTTGTGCTTCTGACTTTATGATAGTGTCCCTCAGATATACCACATATTTTTTATTTCTTCAGCACATATTCTGGCTACCTTTTACCCTCTACAAAATGTTCTTAGACTTGATCTGAGAAGCACAAATGAGCAGATAAAGACTGATAAAGACCTTTTAGGGCTCCTCCAATGATAAACCATGGATCAGGTGCATTTTTCATTTGCAGATACCACATTCAGAACTGGAACTACTTTGGGGAAGCAATTCCCTGAAAGGGAGCTTGAAGCAGTCCTGCAGCCGCTATCAGAACATCTCAGCACACTCTACTCTCTTCCACAAGTTATTCTGGGAGAAGAGAGCAGCTGAAACTGAGCCTAGAAGTCACACAAATTATCCTAACAGGCTGCAAGTCACCCATGAGGCAGAAGCCCAAATGTCCTGAACTATGTCTTTGTAATGCAGAAAGTGTTCCATATTTTGACTGAGAGGAAGGCCTTACCTCATAGGTGATAGCTGCTTTGTGTTTCCCTAGGCCTGTTTCCCTATTTGACTAAAACTTATGAAATTTCTGCCTGCCACATTAAAATCCATGCATGTATCTGTAATTTATTTGCCTGCCTCTGTCAAATGAACATTATGTTATATATACAGCACTGCACTTTTTTTCAACTAAATGGAGGGAAACCCAAGTGTGTTTTTACTAGGCTGGCTATTTAATTTGCAAGTACAAACTTGAGAATATTGAAATGCTATGAAGATGGTATTATCCACATGGAAGAGGAAATGCTAATGTTACATGATTAACTTACCTCTGTGTATTTTAGCCAGGTTTGTTTTGTTGAAAATTTAAGTCTTTTTAAAATGTTATATTTTTGCAGTAATTCATGTAGCATACCTTTTACTTTAAGTCAGAAAAAAAGGTCTCAGGCTTAACCTATTTTAAAACAGCTCTTGCCTTCAGATATATACCAAGAAACAAGCAAGAAGGTGGCGTATTTACTATGAGGGTCTAGAAATAAAGTTCTAGGGCTCTACAAGTAAAGTTATTTCTTCAAATGTAAAGCATTCAATGTCCTTGATGAAATGGTGAAGTCCTATCCACTAAATAAAATTCAGGACTGGCCAAAATAAAAATTTCTCTTCTCTAAGTATGTTACTGTGACTGTATATGCCATCTTTTTTCTTATTTGATTGAAGTACAGGCATATTTTTGGTCAGAAATATGGGGAGTTTGTGGGGAAAAAAGATGATGATGATGTCTGGATGAGAGATTTGAGGGTTTTTTTGTTTTGGTGGGGGAGCAGCTTTTTGTGTGTTTTTTTTTTTTCTTATGTATTTTGGTTTTTATTTGAGGGGGTTGTGGTGTAGTTTTTGGGGGTTTTGATTGCTTTTTTTGTTTTTGTTTGTTTGTTTGTTTGTTTGTGTTTTGTTGATTTTTTGGGTTTTTTTGTTTTTGTTTTTTGTTTTGTTTTGTTTTTGGTCATCGGCTATATCTACTAGATTGCAAAAACATCGTCCTCCCAGTCAGTCAATCAATCAGTCAGTTGATTGCGAGGTCAGGTGTTTTAGTGTTCTCACTGTCTGTTACCCAGCTTAAAAGCATCCAGGTGGGGATAGTTTGGACAGTCAGAGGTGTTTTTAATGCAAAAATAAAAAATGAGATTATCCGGAGCTCCAAGAGCACAGGGTGCTTTTCAAGCAAGGGGTTAAAACTACTTTTCACAACTCAGAAATTTCAGATGCAGACGGTGTATTTTTGTGGGAGGGGGTTGCCGAAAGGGAATCCTCAATACCAATTGGCTGCTCTCTATCAGCCGCAGCTGAGCTCAGGCTGCTGCTCAAGTGCAGTATCGATCTGAAGGGTGAATGTGTCGGGAGCCTCAGAGAGCCGTTCAGAGGCGTTCTGAGCAGGGAACCGACCTCTTCCAGTAAGAAAGTGGTTTCTACCTGCCTTTGCCCCCGCGACATCCGTGGTGAATGAAGGGGAAGGCGAGAAAGGGCAGTGGTGCTGCTACGGCGATTGAGCGAGCGGGCTGCTGCCGCTGCGGTCGCTGCTGCCGCTGCTCCGCCTGCTGCCGCTGCAGCTCCATGTAGCAGGTAAGGCGGCTTTTCCCGGGAAGGGGGAGAGCCCGGGATGGCCCCCCGGTGGCCGGGGCTGCGTGTGGGGGCCCCCGGAGCCGGGCACCCAGGGACGGACGCTGCCTCCGCCGGAGGAGCGGCAGGGCCACAGGCGAGGAGCCCGGCCGTGCGGATAGAGCAGCCTCCATTCCCTGCTCATCCCGGTCTGGAGCCGCAAAACTTCCATAAGTTCCCAAGAAAGTGTGCGAGCCCGCGGTGCCTGAGGGGAGAGGGAGCCGAGCAGGGTCAGGAAGGAGCCGCAGGTGCCCGGGCCGCCGTGCGGGAGTGCAGCGCTCCCAGGGCCGGGCAGCTCCTGGGGGCCACAGAGGTGCGTGAGGGCGGGCGGGTGTGTGGGTGCAGCCGCCGCGGCTCTGCTGAACGCTGGGCTCGCAGAAGGGAAAACAGCGTGCCAAACCGGGCACTCTGTTAAAAGGGAGAATAGCTGAGAGATGGTGTGAAACTCGTGGGACTGGGAATGTATCTGCCGTTTTTTATGTCCCCCTTTTTTTTTTTATTTTCTATTTTTTGAGCGCTCAGTACTCTGTGTGTGTATGTGAAGACAGGGAGGCAGGGGGGAATTTCTGCAGCGCTGACGTTTGAAGTAATAAGGTTTAATTACAGGAAAGAAGGTAAGGAATGTGAATTCGACTTGAAACAACTTTGAAAACACCTGAGCAGCCTCCCCCCTTCAAACAAACAAACAAAAAAAGGCACTGCAGAAAAATTTTAATGGGGAGAAATAAAAATTTAGCCCTGACACAGGGTTTTCAAATGCGAGCCATGATTTATCTTTATAATGTTTCAAACTGATCTTCTATGAATTAGTCATGTGATGAACAGTATGACATGCATAATCTTTATACAAACGTTTTAATCGTGGGGTTTGCTCTGAATTACAAATCATGCTGCAAGTGTGCCTGTGACAGCGATGTGTGAAGGTGCTTACCTTGAGTATTTCACGTGATTTTTGATGTTAATGGCTATGTGGCTTTGGTGTTTCAATTCTTAATATACAGTCTAGAGTAAGGAGGAAACATAAAAGTCTCTTGCCTTTTAAATACTCATTTTAAAGCATGCCATGGTGTAGTGGTGATGATGGACTTTGTGCAAATGTCTGTGTTTATTGAGTGATGGCTAACTGGGTTTTTTTCTGTATCTGCAAATATCTGTCCAGAGCTAAATAGGATGCTGGATAGCACGAATGGTTGAGGTTACTGGTATTTCTTTCCCTATTTTCAAATCCAAATATAAATAGCAAAAACTGAACAATTCAAGAATACTAAGTAGGTCTTATTATAATGCACCTTTTGCTGTGTATGTGATTGCATTTCAGATTCAAAGTAAATCAGTATTAAGATATTTCTATGAAACCATGCTTTTATGAAATTAGCAAATTTGTCAGGATGTCGTTATTTGTCTTCTGAACATGTTAAACCTTTGATTGATGACAGTGTGTTTTCAAGAGGTCTCGAGGCTTCTTACAAAATACTTTGCCAGATCTGAAAGCTGATGGTTGCATTGCAGAAGTCATAGGCAGTTAATTGCTAAACTGATTTGAGTGCTCAAGAACACACCAGCATGCAGACCAAAGTCTTCCTACAAAACTGATCAAACTTGTTACCTGATGTTGCTCTTTTCAGAGATTGAGGCCCCTGTGGGAGACTGCAGAGGGAACAGATTCTCCTTTGGGGAAGCAATAAACGAAACACTTTGTTTTGAAAAGACAGTTTTATAAGAAAATTTATTTTTTCATTCTTGCATCTATCCCATAGATGACATTCATCCTCGAGTTTGCTTTATTTCAATTAATTTGTGCCTGTCCTGCCCCCTTTCCTCCCACCTGTTCTGAATGTCAGGTCTGTGGTATTTGTTTATCCACTGTGCTGGAGGGATCTCCCACAATTTGTATTTATCATACCTAGACAGAATTTTCTTAAAGTGTTCAATACTTTGTAATATTTTCTTCCAAATATATAAGAAGAAATAATATTTCAGTTGCAATGACATGCAATAGAAAGCAGATATAAAGGCTACAGTTGTCTCTCTAGATGCAGTTTCTCATTTTGCACCCATCAGTTGGAGTTTTATTCTTCTGAAGAAAAACATTACTTGTAATCAGTATTCAGCAGGAAAACAAATGCTTATTTTGCTTTCTGTCAACCTTAAGTAACCCATTAGTTCAATAGTAGTGCTTGAGATGATTAAAAAAATGTATAGGTTAGCAAGTTCCTAAATTTCTTTTCCGTGAGTGAGTTTTAGACTAACAGCTTTTTCAGTAATCAAATGATTTTAAACACTTTTGTATAAGAGAATGTTTTAGAAATCATTGACATTTGTGTAACAGTATTGTAAAGATTTGGTTGTAAATGTTTCATTAAAGGCTGCAAAATTGTGCTTAAGTAAGTATTTAAGCAGTTATCACAGAATTAGAGAAGGGAGTAACTTACACGTAACTGTGCAAAGCATCATGATCAAATTTTTCAAATATTCTTATAATCACCCACAGCTCAGGTAAATTGCCTTTAATATGTTCAGAGGATCTGCTAGTCTCATATCAACTTTCCCAAACTATTCTGACATGGACATGCAGTGTGAAGCCTTACAGTAAAGCAGAGCAGATAAAGTCAGGCTGGAACATTGTGCTGTTTTTGTGTAATGAAGCACAGAGGCTCAGGGTGGGCACACAGCCTGGTGCTGCCTGTAGGAGCCAGACTCTGGAGTACCTGGAAACACCTTCTCAAGGTGGGGAGCAGGGCTCTCCTTGCCGTGTGCCCTGCTGTGAAACTGGTAAAACACTCATCCTTTCCTGTGCAATTTAAGACTGAGTCTTAGATTATAACAAGAAAGATTATTTGGAGCACATTTTTCTCATTAGGCATAATATCATAAATACCAGCTTTCTTGAGAGAGCCATTTAAAGGGAATTTCTGCACAGACATTTCTTCACAACAGTACCTGCTCAGAGGGATCTTACCTTTTCCTCTGGAATGTGTTGCTTTTACTTATGCTTTTAAAGATTAGGAGAGTGTGCATGTGCTCATTGCAAGTCTTCTCCTTATTTTCTATCTATAATAAAGTTGTCTGAAACAACAAAGAAAAATAATATATTTCAAGTTTGGATATATTTATCTTAAAACCTTTATTTTTGTAATATATTCTACTTCTGATTTCAACAACACATATCAGTTTTAAAATAAAAATATTCAAAATTTACTAAAATCTTTGCCTCTATTTCTCACACTTCATTACCAGAAATTATTTACTGATATTGATACTTACATTATTATTTAATAGTGTAAGTATTATACTGAGTACTGTGTGAAATAATCTTGTGATGACAACTGGCATTTTGATTAAATTACAGCAGTTGTCCCATTCACAGTCATAAGGCTTTGAAAAATGATTGCATATACATATTGCTGTTGAGAATCTCTTCTTTTAGGAATACCAAACTGTTTTCAGAATATTTTTCTTAGCATTGACCACCAGTGATGTGTGTGTATGTACTGGACTATATGCATGTCCAGAAAAGGGCAGCAAAGCTGCTGAAGGGTCTGCAGCACAAGTTTTGTGAGGAGCTGCTGAGGGAGCAGAGGTTGTTTAGCCCAGAGAAAAGGGATCCCAGGAGGGACCTTATCACTCTCTACAGCTGCCTGAAAGGAGGGTGCAGCCAGGTGGGGTTGGTCTCTTCTCCCACTCAACAAGTGGTACAGGACAGAGAAAGCCTCTAACTGCACCAGGGGAGGTTTAGATTGGATATCAGGGAAAGTTTTTTCATTGAGAACATGGTCAGACATTGAGATCGGCTGCCTAAGGAAGTGGTGGAATGGTCATGCCTGGATGAGTTCAAAAGGCATGTGGATGTGTCACATTCTGACATGGTTTGGGAGTGAGCATGGCAGAACTATGTTAGTGGTTGGACTCAATTATTTTAGACCTCTCTTTCAACCTTAACAATTCCATTATAAACTGTGAATTCAAAGTCAAATACAAGCAAATTGATGATAGTTCTATGGAGTTATTCAACAATTTTTGAAAGGTTAGAAAAGAAACATAGTTCAATTTTAGTGTGAATTGTTTTAAGCAATAAAATATACTGGGTTTTTCCCAGTATGTTGCTGAGTGGAACAGCCATATTTTAATCTTATTTCCACATTATCATTAATTTCTGAGAGCTTATGTATTTGAACCTCTATATTAAAGACTCCTAATAAAAAAAAAAAAACAACACAGGAGAGAAACACAGAACAAAAAAGAATTAAAGCTGATGCCATAGTGTCTTCGATTTTTCTTAATTTAACCATAGTTTTCTATTCATGTGTTCAGAGAAGAAGCTCTAATACCTTTGCATTTGTCTGCTCCCCTTCAAATCATCTGTGTTTGCCTACAGCATGAGTATCTTTGTTGGTTTCCAAGCTATTCATTTGCAAAGCTCTTTGAGGTATCTTGAGTGTGAAAATTGTTATGAAGCCAAGTGCTGTTCTGCTTTTAAGTGACTCATAAAAATGTCTCCACTTAAAGCATTTTATGTATACATTAGTTTATGTACACATACCCTTTACATGAAGCAATTTTTATAAGACATTTTAAAATGTGAACATGATTTGAGTTTGTATAACACATTGAGTTGAAGGCATTGCAAGGAATGAATTATAGTTCAGGATGGCAAAAAATAGACATGCTACTAAGAAGGTATGTTACATGAAGTGTTATGTTTTATAACTGCATTGTGAAAAATATCGTGTGATCTTTCCTGTTTCTTAGGTACTGTTCACTAAAGGAACTGGAACATAATGTCTATTATAATGAGATGACGCCTCTTTTCAGCTCTAGGTTTCACTTTTAGAAAAGTCTTTGATGTGGAGAGAGGTCTACGGTCTGCTGTGGTACACTGGTTTCTCTCAGTGTGTTCACTCCTACTGGGCTGCATTTCGGAGCTGGGTGATACTTACAAGTGATTGTGTCATAGCTGTGGAAAT